AAGTATCCTGGAGGAGGTGAGGTCTATGGAATAAAGGGAAGCTGATCAAGAAGAAGAAGGGAATAGCACCCCCAAAATGAGCAAAGGCACAAAGGTGAGAGAAACTCTTGGGCTTTTGTTTACTTATTTTTTTAAATAGGGCTGAAGATTGAACCCAGAGCCTCACACACGCTAAGTAAATGCTGTGCCACTGAGGCATACCCCCAGCTTTCTTGTGCTTTTAGAATCACAGAAATCAAGAATGGGGAATAAGCTCTTGCCTAGCATGTGTGAGGCCCTGAGTTTGATGCAATGAGGTACACTCAAAAAGACTAGTCCCCGGGAGCAGCAACCTGACCTGATGACGTCAACGGGGGAGCGCATGAGTGCTCGCTCCCGCTCAGGAACCGTGTGCCATGTGAACACCAGCCTCCAGTCGAAGCCGCCGATCTGGGGCTCCCCCGAGTTGCCCAGGTACTCGAAGGTGTTCCAGTCAATCACATCAATCACAGGGCACACCACTGCCGACTCCTTCTCATGGATCCTGCCAACACCACAGACATCCCGTCTATCCTCCAGAACGGCCAGCATGACAACCAGGGATTCAAGAATCCCTCACGCCTGTGTCAGAAGGCCTGCCTCCCTTCTTCAGGGAGGCCATGGCAGGGGACAATCATGAGGACACTGGGGAGGCGGGGAGGGGCTTTCATAGAAAAATTCCCATGGCTTCCATCTTCTTCAGCTATGGATATTCTGGCTACACGTGAATCCCTTAATGAGAGCCAAGATGTATACAAAAATCAAAGGTGATTTTCAAAAAGAGCAGATTTTCAATCCTCAGGAATGAAAGAGTTTTCATCACAGTGAAGAGATAATTACCTCCCTAATAACAGACATACTTTGAAGTTAGAAGTTCTAATCCTGCTCCTTATTCCTGTGTGACATCAGCCAGTCACCCAACATCTCTAGGCCAGTGCCTCCTTATTATTATAAGTAGTAATTGCAATGGTAATAACTACTTATGGGATCAATGTGAGAATTCCCAAAATCATGTTTGCAAAGTACCTGGCAGAGAATCTGGAACAACAGCTGTCCTTTTCTTTTTCATTACTGTGACATATTACAGACAGTGAAAAATGCTGACTTGTAGCTACAGGTATTGGCCTCTGTGCTCTTTAGCTATTTTCTCTACCAACGTTATTGCAAACATACTGTCCTCCAGCACATTCCCAGTATTTCTTTGCTTTTGACACCACACTAGGACAGATGAGCTGAAACTAGACAATGTGTGAGGGTTAGATTTCCTTGGGCTACATTTTGGGGGCTGTTGCCTCAAATCTGAGACCTAAAAATCCTAAGAGTCACACCACACAGAACAATAAAACAGAGATCAACTACACAAGCTGTAAGCAGCCTCGAAAGTCAGACAGCAGAAAGTCAGAGGGGATGTTGTAAATACCACACTGAAGAAGGAATTACAACTTTAGGGGAAATTGCACTATTCGAGACAGATTGAATCAGACAGAGAATCAAATCTGTGAGGTGGCTGCAGACTGGGTATCCGTCAACTGGGTATTCTTTAAATAAATTGAGGGCATGGCTAGAAGGGTCGAGCAGGCCAATGACAGACCCACTGGGCAAGTCATCCAAGGGTTCAGAACTTGCAATCAAGCTGGTTAGAACCAGGGGCAGCCCAATTTTTACAAAAAGATGAAACTTAGGGCAGGAGGGAGTGCTGTGCTGTGCTGGTGCTGGGGTACTGGACTCTGCCTCATGAGTAGAGAACATGTGCCATGCCAATGGGGAGCTCCCAGTGTCAGGGGCAGAACCCTCCTGTGGTGTAGGGCTGACCTGAACACTGCAGGACACTTGGCATCCTTAGCACACAGAATGCTAGAAGTACTACCCAGTTGATATGACAACCAAGAACACCTTCCCACATTTCCAAAGGCCTCTGGGGGGAAAGGGTCACTGCTGAGGGGGAGGGAAAAGGGAACCTCTAGAGGCCCATCTATAGCCCAAGGTGTCTTGACTCCAGTATACATAAAGGCCCTGGGAGCTTTGGAAACATCCAGAAGCCCAGTCCTCACTCCTAAGAGTCAGATACAAATGGTGTGCCCGAGGACCAGACATTGATATGTTTCAAAGCTCCCCAGGGACTCCCAGTAAATACCAGGGTGAAGCAACCCCTCATCTACAGGTGTGATGCTAGGCCTTGGTCACTGGGAGTAGGCTGTGATGGGATTCTACATGGTATCAGACCATCAGCTGGAGAAGTGGCCTCTTCAGACCTCCCCAAAGACTAGAAGAGCCCAGAGACAGCCATCATGCACAGGCAGGGAAGGAGGCAGGAGACCCACCAGTATAGGCTATAGACATCTATGTGCTAAATAACCTCAGACTCCATCACAGCCCAAGAGGTCCTGACTCTACTGCTGGTAAAGCCTTCAGAGGTGAGACGAGGTAGCAAGGGCACCCACACGAACAAAGGACTGGGCAGCAGGAAGTAGCAGAGTAATGTCAGCCAGGAAGGGAGGTGAGTGGGTCTTCAGCAATCCCAGACAGATGCTGACAACCAAGTGTCAGGTTGTGGAGAAGCAGGTTCCCAGCTGCAGAGTTTCTCTGCCCCTGGCTCTCTGCCTGCTCCAGGAAGGCGAGACCAGACAGAGACTCTCACACCTTCCTCTCCCTCCAGGGGAGCTCCTAGTTTTCCTGCCCAGATCCTGCTTTCTGTGTCATACAATCAGGAGGACTGAGAGAGACTAAGAGACTGGGGAGTGGGGGGAGCAGTGGGCAACAAACAGAAGTGAACCAAAGCCAAGCCCCACTGTGAGGAGGCTTAGAGAAGAGGCTGTGAGGGGCAGCAGGGGAAATAGGGAAATGGCCTTGAAGACAAAGCTACTTGTGAGCCAGAGATCAAGAAAATCATGCTTCTAGGCAGACCCTACCTCAACCAATGGCTTCATACCTGTCATCCCAGCTACAGGGGAAAACACAAGTGGGAGGAACATGGTTCAAGCCTGACTGAGCATAAAGTAAGACCCTATCTCAAAAATAACCAATGTTTGAGCCAGAGGCATCGCTCAAATGGTGGAGTACTTTCCTAGCAAGGCAAAGCCCTCTGTTTAAGCCCCAGTACTGCCAGATAAAAGAAAAGAAAAAGTAAAAAACATGAAAACATTTTTGTGGGGCTGGGGGTGTAGCTCAGTGGTAGAGCACTTACCCAGCATGTGTGAGGTCCTGTGTTTGATCCCTAACACCACAAAACAAAAAAGTAGGAAAACATTTTTGTCCTTTTATATTTCATGGACCTGAGGCACTGAGGCACCATGCAGATTATGTGTGATGACTAAGTGAGCTCTGCTGGTCAGAAATGCCTGGAAATGTCTGTTCTCTAAGAGTGATTCTGTACATCAACAACTTTGTAATTTGGGGTGGAAGCTCTCAGGTCTTCTATAGTAAATTGGGTAAGAAGTAGTAAGAGCAGCAGTGGTGGAGGGCCTCCCACAGGCTGCCATGTTCTGCCGGTGTTACAGAGGACTTGCCCAAAACCAGCTGACCCAGAGGCCCACCACCACTCAAGTGGCCACTGTGAGTCTATCCCAAGGTGGCGTCCCTCCCCTTGTCGGCAGCTCACGCACCTCTGCAGCAGTGGCTCCAGCCACCCCTCGTGGCACTCACAGTGGCAGTCCAGGAAGGTCAGCACATCACCCCTGGCAGCAGAAGCCCCCAGCAACCGGGCTCGCACCAGGCCCTCCCTCTTGCTGGCGCGGATCAGGCGTACCTTGGGCAGGCTGGCCAGCTCATTGGCCAAGCGCTCCTTCAGGTGCTCTGGAAGGCAAGCAGAATAGCAGGGTGACACAAAGTGCCCGTGGCAGAGTGTCACATCCAAGCTGACCCTCCAGGGTCTCCCTGTCCCCCAAAGCTCAGACAGAGCCTTGGCCACCTAGATGCCTTCACCTTACCTGGGATGAAGACTGGAAGGTCACTGAAGGCAGGTGAGTCTGAGGAAAAGAGTTCTAGAACCACCAACTCCCCAAAACACACATGCATATTGGATCGTATGCTTGGTATGTGAATGTATCTCAATAAAGCTGTTACCAAAAGAACTTTATAGCTTGACTTGTGAACATTTAAAAATAAAAAACGTGAACCATGCAACCACAATGCTATGTTTTGAACATGGTCTGTGTCTCACAAGAGTACGTTGTACTTGGGGCTGTTGGGTAGTCCTTAGGTCATTGTGGGAGTGCCCTAGAGGAGACTGTGGGACCACAGTTTCTCGCTGCTCCTCCTTCCAGATGTAACTGCATGCTCCCATACACATTCCCATCCTAGACATCCACCACGACATGATGGAGCAGAGAACCTGATGCAGGTGCCACGCCCTTGAACCTCCAAAAAACTGTGAGCTTAAACAGCCTCTTTTTCTTCATTAGGAGCCTGTGTCAATATTGTTAGAGTGATGAAAAGCTGACTGACACATATGATTTTTATTAGAACAGCAATTGTGTTAGCAAAAGTTCTCTCAGGAACAAATTACAGCTTTGGTTTTTTTTGGGGGGGGCGTTTTTTTTTTTTTGCAGTACTGGGGCTTGAACTCAGGGCCTCATGCTTGTTAGGCAGATGCTCTACCACTTGAGCAATGCCCTCCCAGCCCTTTTTGGTCTAGTTATTTTTCAGATAGGGTCTCATTTGCCCAGGGCCCTCAGAATCTTCTACCTATTCTTCCTGCCTTGATGGGTTTTTAACTGTGCTAGCATACCCAGTCTATTTGTTGAGATGGGGGTCTCACTAACTTTTTGCCAGTACTGGCCTTGAATTTCAATTCCTCTGATCTCCATCTCTGGAACAGCTGAGATTACAGGTGTAAACTATCATTCCTGGCACTTTTTAGAGTTTCATAGCAGCAGCAGCAGCAGTGTTGGTAACAGCAGCTAACATTAAAAAGGGCCTTCTGTGTTACCTACTATCTAAGAGATTTATGAATAACCATCTGACCCACCAACAATCCCCTGGTGTAAGTACTAGTGTTTTCCCCATCCATTACGTGGATGAAATCTGCCCTACATCACAGAGCAAGTAAGCTGAGGATCCGGGATTTGAACTCAGGGAGTTTTTGACTCCAAGACACCCCAGGCTTAACACTGCCTCACAGGACTTTCTCCTGTAATTTCTCATTCTTACGAAACAAATCAATAACTTATCAGAGCTGGATGTGGTACACACACTGTAATTGAGCTATTTGGGAGGTAGAGGCAGGAGGATCTCAAATTTGAGGACAGCCTGGGCAAAAGGCAGCAAGACGTGGAGCTGGTGGCATGGCTCAAGTGATAGAGCACCTGCCTAGCAAGTGTGAAACACTGAGCTCAAATCCCAGTACCACCAAAAATAAATAAATAAATAAAAAAGGTAGCAAGGCTCTGTCTCAAAAACAAAGCGAAAAAAAAAAAAGGGCTGAGGGTATATCTCAGTGGTAGAGCACTTGTGTAGCAAGTGCAAGGCCCTGGGTTCAATCCCTGTATTGTGAAAAACACAAAACAAACAAATTAAAAAAAAAAGCCCCTCCATCTTATCCAGAGGACATGCTGTCATGCCAGTTATCAGGACAGGTGATGCGTGAAGAGGACATACCTCACTGGTCTCTGTGTCTCCGGCCTCCCAGATGAGACTCTGGGACCAGAGACCAATTATACCCCCAGTGGGTTGGGTGGAGGCAGGTGCAATTCACCCAGGCAGCATAAAAACGGGAGCATTTCCCTACATCACCATGGTCTTTGGCTCAAAGTCCTCACCCATCAATCAAGGAGGACATTCATAGTTTATGAAAATATTTCTCTAAATATCCTTGACACTTAAAAAAATTAATTGGTTGATTTTTTTTAAAATCCTAAATAGAATTGCCAATAACCTGATGGCAGGAATCAGGGAGGTAATTTCGCAGGCAAAGCTGTTAGCTGCAGTGCCTAGTGAACACATGCACCCTGTCTCCCTGTGCTCAAAACAAGGGAGTCAGCGTCCTTATCATGTCAACCCATGGCATCTTCCTGTGACTGGGGTGAGAGAGGGCGACCCCTGCATCAAGCTTATCCTGGCACTGCAGAAGGCAGGAAGGAGGTGGACATAACTATTGACTGCATCCCAGATCCAGCAGCCCTCCCCTGCTCTGTAAGTCACCACAGTGGAACAAGGGAAGGCTCAGCCCACCTGCCCTCCATGGGTGCAAGGACTGAGCTGTTGAAAGGTGTGCACACTGCCCATCCTGCTGCCTACTACGGAGCGTTTAATTCATAAAGACAAAATAAGCAATCTGTTATTTGCTTTTATTGTTTGAAATAGTTTTTCTTTCACTTTACAATTTTTAAAGAATTCGTAAAAATACAAATTATGGTTTAACAAGAGCTAACTTTCTGCCAAGTCCCGACCTACACCTAAACCTCCCTGCTTCACTCATTTAACCCTCACTATTAGGAGGAATATTTTATTCCCATTTTCTAGGGATCACAGCCAAAGTGTAAACCGATGAAGATAGTTGCTCAGTGCTATGTCCTCACTAGGTGTTGGAGTGGGGAGCCAAGCCTGGTGTGAGCCCAAACCAGTGTCTACACACACAAACTGCAAACAACCATGGGAAGAAAGGACGAAAGGCCACGTGGATGAGCACCTACTGAGTGCCAGCTGCTACCCGAGGTTCTGTCCTGATTGTGACCCTAGATTGGTGTGGTAAACCCACTCAGGTGAGAAACTGAGTCTCAGAGAAGACAAGCGACTCACCCAAAGTGCCATGATGAGACTATCGTGCACCACAGTACAGCTCACTGTACACCCAGGTGCCCTGACCCCAGAGCTCACCTTAGCACCAAACTCTGGCCCAGTCAGCATAGACACTGTTACCTGTCCCTTAATTCCCAGTCTCCAGGATTTTTAGCTAAACATACAACCACTATGACAAAGACTATACTTCCCAGCCTCCCTTGCAGCTAGGTGTGACCACGCAACCATGTTCTGCACCATGGAAAATGGGGGCACTTCCAGGTAATGCCCCTAAAAAGAAAGGGTGTGTCCCCCTTCTTTAAGCCCTTTTGGCAGACCAGAGTAAATGGGCTGGGAGGGGTAAGCCTGGATCAGGCAGAATGAGGCAGTCCCCACCCAGGAGGCAGAAGCCTGGAGCAGGAGCCAAACCCTGTCCATCCTGGACTTTCACATCAGACGCATGACACGAGAGAGTTCTGTTTCCACTGTGTGTGATCACTATTATTTGGAGTGTCTGCAAGAACAACCAGCACACATGTCAATCAGAACACAGACACATGGCTTTGCAGGCAGACAGACAGACCAGGAGCAACGCCCACCAGCTCCTTGCCTGGCAAGCAGCAGCTGGTAACCTCACAGGTGGGCCAGGGATGGTAATTTGGTTTGAAACAGGCTGTAATAAGGAAGCCTACAGTTCTACTTGTGGCTACATCTTTGACATTTCCCCTCAGTTAAGCCCAGTGGCCCTCACTTCAGCCAGTCAGCCAAGAGTCACTGGCTGATGCCATTCCCAGTCAAGCCAAGACTGTCGCTGGGTGTGAGTGCTGCAGAAGCTCCTCCTTCCCCTCCATGGCTTCACCCCCACTGTGGCCATTCCCCACACAACACTCAGGAGCTCTCAGACTGACCTGGAACTTCCTGCCCTCTTAAAGCTCTCTGATGGCTCCCCTCTGGGCTCCCACTGAAGCTCCAAAGCCTTATTGTGGCCTCCAAGGCCCTGTCTGATCTGGCCCCACCCTCCCTGCAATCTCACCTTCCATGTCACTTCCCCCCATTGGCTGATGGTTGACCCCAGAGAATGCTAGTCCAGGGCTTCTTCTCCCTGATGTTGCTGGGCGTGCGCTACCCCCTTTATCCTCCTCCACCTTCTGTCACTGCCGTGGAAGGCCAGACCCCACCAAGAGCCCGTGCTGAGGGCTTACCTCTATCACTGTAGTCGTCCACCAGGATGACCTCCTCCACCAAGATGTCCGGGGATGTCTCGAGGACACTGTAGACAGTCCGAAGGAGTGTTGACCAGGCTTCATTATAAAACGCTATGATCACAGATGTCCTGGGTATGTTATCATAATCGTATGTCTTCTCTTTGCACCTGCAGATATGGCACAACTTCAGAACTGGAGAACCCAGGCCAAGTTGGTGCTGGGAACGGAGTGATGAATGGGACACAGGTCATGGCCTTGGGCATCCCCCTTGGAACCAGAAGGTAATCTTCTGGAAGATCTCCTAGAGTTCCCATGTGCCACAAAGAGCCCCAGAGGATCCCAAGAAAGGTTCCAACCATGACACCCAACAACTTCTGCCTGTGCTATAGTTTTTAAGCTGTACAGCAATTTATGGATTTGTGCAACATTAAAAGTAGGCAGAAGCAGAGGGAGGGCAGTTGTCACACACACCCCATACTCCATACCTCTCCTGTCTATCTATTTGGCTCCAATCCCACCGCCAGACCTTTGCTCAGGCCATTCCTTCTGCCTGGTATGCCCTTCCTCTTCTCTACTGGCCATACTCCCTGTCCTCCTTGCCAGCACCCAGCCCTGGGTTCCTAGGAGCTGGGAAGCTTGGCACCCATCCTGGTCAGCACCTTGCCCGCTCCACCTTCTCCCAGCAGCCAGCAGTGCCTGTACCTCACAAAGGTGGGTGCTGAATGCATACACCAGACTCGTGGCTAGAATATACGAACAACCCAGAACCATGGCTCTACAGAAGGCACTGACCAACACCCCAGGGCCCAAGCCCTCCAGCTCTGTTATGTAGCAGTCCATGGGAGGAGGGGTGCTGATTGGCAGTTATAGAAGCCAATGAGCTCCTGCTTTGTTTAGAAGAGTTTGCTGTCACTTTGCACTGAACAGATAACAAACTCCCAGTGCCACAGGGACAACTAAGGGTCAGCAGAAATATAGAAGGAAAAATTATTAATAATAATGAGTGAGTTGAGGCAAAGGATTTATAGGAACTCATTGTGCTATCCTTGCAAATTTTCTCCTGGTTTTAATTTTTCAAAATTAAAAAATTTAAAACAAAAAAAAAGGGAAAACGTTTTTGACATTATAAAGGATACACCCAAACACCAAGCCAACTGTGATCTGCAGATGTGCCTCTCAATCCTAGTGGCCCTTGCAAATGCCCTCCAAATCTCATCCCCCTTTCTAATAAAATAGCCCGTCCTCCAAGCAGCTGTGACAGTGGGTGGAAAACACAGGTGGACATGTAGGGAAATATTAATAAGTATGGACAGATTATTAAGGCCCTGAGACACAGTGCACAGAAAAGCTGTATAGTGCTAAGTTGTAACCCACTGAGCCTCAGAAAGGATGAATAGCTTATTGCGATAGTTTAGATCTGGGATGTCCCTGGAAGGCCTGTGTGTTGAAGGCATGGTTCCCAGCTTGGCATCAGTGGGAGACAGTGAAATCTTTAAGAGGTGGGGGCAAGTGGGAGGTTTTAGGTCACTGGGGGTCCACCCGCAAAGGAGAGGTGGAATCTCAGTCTCTGCCTGTCTCTTTCATTCCTAGCCATGAGATAAGCTGTTTGCTCTGTCACAAGCTGCTATCATGATGTGCTGTGCCACCACAGGCCCCAAGGAATGGTCAAGAACTGAAACCTCTAAAACTGTGAGCCAAAATAAACCTTTTCTCAGGAATCTGTTACAGTAATAGAAAGCTAATATTTACATGAGAAAAAAAAGTGTTTTGTGAAACCTAAAAATAAAGCTTAACCTTAAAAAAAAAAAGGCACAGCTGGGCGTGGTGGCACATGCCTATAATCCCAGCACTTGGGAGGCTGAGGCAGGAGGATCACAAGTTTGAAGACAGGCTGCGCTACGTGGCAAGACCCTGTCTCAAAAAAAAGAGGGTGGAGAGTTGGGGATGTAACTTGGTGGTAGAATACTTACCTAGCATGCATAAGGCCCTGGGTTCAATCCCCAGCAACACACACACACACAGCTAAAACTTTGATTTTGAACTGCTCAGGTTCAAACAGAAATTAGTGAAAAGGACAGAGAACTGAGGTTTGCAAAGTAATGGTTATTCAATGTAAAGAAGTACAACTGTCCTTTAGTCTGAAATTACATCCTTACTGTTTCAGTTTAACATTTATTTCTTCTCTGTATGAACAAATAGAGTTGGAACTATCTATCAGCCTCTCTCTGGTTTTTTTGTTTGTTTTGTTTTTTTTAGTTGTGTGTTTCACTGCTCTTGAAAATCAAAGGCATAAAGCCTTCATCCCAGAATGTCTAGGTAGGCTCTTCATGTCACTTAAATGACAAGAAATCTGGGTGCTAACCTGGCAATACTCAGAGCTTTGAAATATTCCTCTTCTCTTTGATCACATATCAATATATTTAAGAGGCAGAGATTGGGAGGATCAAGGCTCAAGGCCAACCCTGAGCAAAAAGTTTGAGAGCTACCATCTCAGCCAATGGCTAGACATGGTGGCACACACCTGTCATCCCGGGTACATGGGAAGCACAAACGGGAGGATGGTGATCAGGCCAACCTGGGCCAAAAGTGATCAGTGCAAAAACGGCTCAGTCACCTAATCGGGAGGATCACAGTTCGAGCCCAGCCCAGGCAAATAGTTTGTGAGAATACTTCATGAGACCCTATCTCAAAAAAAGGGCTTGTGGAGTGGCTCAAGGTATAGGCCCTGAGTTCAAACCCCAGTACCAAAAGAAAAAAAAAGGGCTGGTGGAGTGGCTCAAGTGGTAGAGTAACTGCCTAAGAAAACAATCTGATACCCTGAAGTGGGCTTGTCGTAAAACTTTTTTTTTTAAACATGATTTATGATAGCAAAAACCTGCAAAGAATTTCCATATCTAACAAGAAAGAAATAAAGTACAGGCTTCATAAAGAAATGCTACATGCCATCTAAAACATTTTTAGAGAAAATTTAATGATAAAATAAAATGGTCACATTATAATGTTAAATCAAAACAGCAGAGTACAGATCTGTAAATAGCCAAGTCTAAACACAACGTTGTGTTCACATAAACAGTGAACAAGAGAAAGGGCCACGCCAAGACTTATCCACAGTGACTTCTGAGAGGCGGGATAATCACTGATTTTACATAATTCTCTGTATTTCTCTGCATTCTAAAATTGTTCTACAATGAACATGCATAATTTTTATGATCACAAAGATTGTTTTTAAAAAGCTGGGACATATTTCGTCAAATGCCTCCACTATGCAATAACTTACTATTCTACCCTTTCCTCTTTCCTATGTCTGTGTCTTTCTTTAAAACCTCTCCTAAAGTCATTCTCCTTTATCAGGTTCTCCCCCACCCCAAATGCCTCTAAGTTTGTTTCCAGGAAAACACTTTCTCTTCTTCCTGACTGATTGGTAGAAAGCTGTGCATTCTTTGGTTCAGCAAGGACAGCTTTGTGTCACTTTAGGGATCCACCTCTACCCAGTGCTAAACTTAATGGCAAATCCTAGTCAGCCCTCATATCACTACACTTCTGCTATGTTCCAGGGGCTTCACGAGGACAGGGGCTAAGTGTGCCTGTCTATTTTCAGCATGCCCGTGCTGCATCCGGTAAGTACAGTCACGTTTATCAAGTGCTTACTACATGGCAGGCAGTGCACTAAGCATTTTGTAGGCATGATTTCATTCAAACTTCAGAACCGCCCTACAGGGTAGCGACTACAGTCATCTCCACCAGCATGATGCAAGTCTACATCTCAGATGCTTATGAATGACTGGATGTGGTAAGCGCCTCCTGATCTTCTATCTTTATATAAATGTCCTTTGGAAAAACAGCAGAAACTCATCCGTTATAGCATAGGCCAGGAGACAGTAAGGTGCATTCTAGCGTTTTATGTGCCCTGGTTCTATTCTCCTTTCTTCATGATACCACACCTTCATTCTCTTTCAGAAACCAGTCCACCCCAACTCTCAGGCTATGTGGTTTCTGCAAGGCTGAACACACACATATACTCCACCATACACACACCCCACCTCTGCGAAGATTCTATGCCTCTAGCCAGACCAATCAGCTTTTTCCAGCTGACAGCATCTGTACCCCTGAATTTAGGGCACAGCATAACCTAAACCTATTTAGGCTAGAAGCCAATATCTTTTCTTTATATTTAAATCAGTTTACACAGGGTTTTTAGTCAACCAAAAAACCCTGACTAATATAGAAAATAAGTATCTTTAACTTTTTTTTTGGAATGGTACTGGGGGATAAGTATTTTTTTAAAAAGTGATTATAGGATGTCTGCTTTTGGCAAAAGATCAGAAATTGATCATGTAACTACTAAATTAGTAAAGAGAAAAATGTAATGAGAAAGGGGGGGAAGCCTCAATCAACTCAAAAAGCAGCAGGAAAACAGAGGGGAGAAGATATATTAAGAATAACATAAAAGCCAGCACCCATGACTCATGCCTGTAATCTTAGCATTCAGGAGGCAGAGATCAGAATCTCTGGTTTAAGACCAGCAAGAGCAAAGAATTTGAGAGACCCTATCTTGAAAATACCCAACACAAGGGCTGAGGGCATGGCTCAAGTGGTAGAGCACCTGCCTACCAAGCGTGAAGCCCTTAGTTCAAACCCCAATACCACCAAAAAAAATTAAAATAAAATAAGAAGAGCATAAAATAAGACAGTGCATGAAATCCAAAGAAATCAATAAGCACAATAAAAAAATGGATATGAATATCTACTTAAAAGTCAATGACTTGTGTGGACTTGTGTGGACTTGTGTGTGTGTGTGTGTGTGTGTTGTGTGTGTGTGTGTGAGAGAGAGAGAGAGAGAGAGTGCAGGCTGGTCTTGAACTCGAGATCCTTCTGCCTCCCCTCCCAAGTGCTGGTACTGCAGGTATGTCACCACCCCCAATTGGAATTTTTTTTTAATGACAACACAAAATAAAGCAACATGCTATTCAGTGACATACCTAAAACATATGGATACAGAATGAGTAAAAGAAAAAGGAAGGGAAAAGGTAAAAAACAAAAACAAAAAAACCCCAATCAAAACTGAACAGTTCTATGGAAGCTTTCTTTGAATCCTCACTAGAAGAAAGGATGTCAATCTGATAACTACAAGTTGATCTGGTAAGAATTAATAAAATATTCTGCAGTTTACAATCTTATTGGGAAAGCAAAAGAAATATCATTCTAATGTCTATAGGGTGAGATGTTTTCCAAAGATAATTTTGTTATGAGAACAGATAAGCCAGCTACCTCACTGCAAAAACAGAAATCCTGACCAACTTCCTCCTGCCAACTCCAGCCAGGCACTCTCAGTTTTGCTGATACCTATGGAGAGCTACTTTGAGACTCAACCACCCTAAATCCTGATCCCTGAACTCAGCCCACAACGGAAGCTATAGCATTAACAAGACTAAAAGCAGGGCAGGCAGTCAGGAAAGGTAAACACCTGTACACAGATGCCAGGCTCTCTTCCCCAGAGGTGCACAGCAGAGAATGACCAATGTTAACTACACAGCCCACGCGCTACCACTCCACGCCTTCTCTCCTGCTAAGCAGGTCAGAATGCAAATGACAATGACATCTCAAGGTCCTATATTCTATGAGAATCTTTTTTTTTTCAAATTTTAGTTCAACGTTATTAGCAACCGTTTGACACACCTCCCAACTGACAATGATGGCACCACTAGTTTCAACTGCACTTGACTTCTTTATAATTGCCACTTCCTCTAACTGTGATATTCTGCCATACTGTCAAAAAGCACCCACCCTGACTCTTCTGAATCAGAAGTCCACAGGCAGTGGGTCAGCAGTTTTCAGCCTCAGCCTAGGTCCTACCCACAGAAACTGATGTCACTGTTCTGGGGAAGGTCCCTGGCATCACTCTTTTTAAAAGTTCCCTGGGCTGCAAACCCAGCTATCTGGCTTCTCACTTTGGCTTGCTATTGTCTCAGTGTGAAGCTGAAGCGTGAAAGTTCCTCCTCCTTGCTAGGATCAAATGACAGGGGATTTGTGGAAGTGCTGCAGACCCTATGCTTACTATGCTGCCATTACAGGACTCCCTCCCATTACAGGGCTCCTCCTTATGTCAGTACTACAACTCTCAGAAACAAAGTCATGCATGTGGATTATTAGATCCTACACAGGGTCTCAAGGAAATAGAGCCAGCCGACACTCCAAAATATCTCTTTATTGGTCTGATTCGGTCTGAGGGGGCAGACCAATCAAGCTTTTCAGATGCCAGGAAGATCCAAACCAAATGGTCCCTTGGTTGTTCTCAACACCTTGCCTCTTGTAACAGGCTTATGCACTGTTCAGCAAAGATTTCTGTTAAACAAATGTGTGGGTACCAGATGTGGTATAATCCCAGCACTTGGGAGGCTGATGTAGGAATACCACAAGTTCAAGGCCAACCTGGGTTACATAGCAAGCTTGTCTCAAAACAACAAAACTGCGTGTGGGCCTGCATGCATACTCATGTTTGAGTCTGTTCTCAAACACACACCTTTCGTATACTTGGAAAAGTCTAGACTGATACACAGCAAAATGTTAATGATGGAGCTCTCCAGGTACAAAGTTGATTAATGTTTTTTTGTTTGTTTGTTTGTTTCTCTGTATATGCTACATTTTCTAGAGCAAATGTATTGTCTTTATAATGAAAATAAGCACATAAATAATTGTCCTCACCCCAAAAGGGAGGAACAGAGAAAAGATCTAGATGGTGGACTGGCTCTGCCTCTAATTCCTGTGATTTGACCGGAAGCCCCCTCAGAGCCCTCCCTCCTCTAAAAGTGGGAACCCTGACTACCACTCTGATGATTAATCATACTCATGGGGGACCCCACCCCTGTACTGCAAGCTCCTAATCTGCCCTCCCAGTTTCTCAGGCTGACTATCCAAAACCATGACCTGCTCCTCATCCCTGTAGAAACTGCAGTAGTCCCTGCTTATCTAAGATTTTATTTCCTGTCTCTGTTACCTAGTCAACCATAGTCCAAAAATATTACATGGAAAATTCCAGAAATAAATCATTTGTAAGTCTTAAGTTGTGTGCCCTCCTATGTAGCATAATAAAATCTCATCTTTCTTGGGACATGAGTGATCCTTTTGTCCAGTGTATACACACTGTGTATACTACCCACCCGTTAGACGCTTCACAGTCATCTCATAATCAGATTGACTGTCAAGGTATCACAGCACTTCGTATACATAAGGTTCAGTATAATACAAGGCTTCAGGCATCCACTGGGGAACTGGGAAGCTGTCCTCTGACGATAAAGGTGGAAGTGCTACTGACCACACAAACTGTCTCAAAGTGTGTCCCAGCTGAGACTCACACAGAGCAAGCCCACCTTCCTATCAGGCAGGGCAAGAACCCAACAGGCCTTGCTGCAGGAATTAGAGGCAGGACATTCACACGCCCATCATGCTGGGTTTGGATTAACTTCCCAGGGTCAGTACAACAACAGGATCTATTTGCAAATCCTGATGGGACACAGGGCAGCTACATTACCATGGAGACAGACACTATAAGCCCCACAGGTCATCCACAGCATTTCAAAGACACATTCACAACCTCCAGCAATAAAAGAAGTGCATCCGGAAACAAAAACCTTCAGGACCAATCCCTGGATGACTTTCAAAGTCACCTCCTGAGTATATTCTTGGCAGCAAGGAAAGGAGAGAAACTAATGAGACCACAGTGCGCTCCAAGGTGTTGGTGTGTTAATTCCTAGCTTGCACTCATCTGCCTCTTTTATGTAGAGTGTGTGCAGACTGACTTTGACGAGCTGTCTAGTTTGCAGGTGGGGAAACTGAGGCTCAGAGAGGCTGTCAATTATCTAAGATCACAGAGCTGATAAGCAAAAGAGCCAGGACTGTATCTCATGGGGACTTGAAAGTGAACTCTGGGTTTGACCTGAAAGCTTCCCCTAGCCCTCGCTTTCAGTGAGCACCTTTGGGGTTTCAAGGAGCTAAGCATGCATTAAAGCTGTTTGGTGGAAGTGGGGGAGCTGTGGAAATCCCAACACTTTTACTCAAAAAGATTAACAGTGAAAAATGCCGCAGGTAGAAGCATGGGACTAGGCATGAGAGAAAACTGAAAACTGGAGGATGTGAAGTTTAAGTTCATGTAACCTTTGCCTGAGGTCTGCATGGTGCCAGCTGGGGCAGGAGGGTCAAAGTCCTCTAAAGCCATTCCACCACTTTTCAGCTAGGAGAGTCACCTATCCCTCTCTGAACTCATTTCCACAACTGTAAAGCAGGCATAGCATGGAGTGAGGGGAAGAGGTGGCAGGTGCAGGGACTTTAGGGACCCTGTTCTGAGCCCTCTTCCTGGAAATCTATAAGGAGGGAGGTCAAGTGAGCATTGGAAGATCCCTGACAACTCAGAGTAAAGGACAGAGACCAGGAGGATCTGGGCGACAGTGGTAGCAGTCACCTGCTGCCAGTTGTTCCCTTGTCCCTTACCTAGGCAGGGGCACAACCCGCCCGACCAGCAGCCCCAACAGGAACTAAACGTCTAACCACACCGGCTCCAACCCCACACCACCCACAGAAGGGAGAGGGCTGGCGGGAGGCCAAGAGTGCCCTTTCCATCTCCCTCCACCCAAAGCCCGGAATCCAGCTCCAGGGAGAGGAAGGAGGCTGTGGGCCTCTCACTTAGCCTTTCATTCGTTTTCACCTGGCCTGGAGGCTTCGTCCCGCTGCGCAATCCGTGGCCCGGCACACCCAGATGAATGAATGGAACTGGCCCTGCTTCGCGGGGGGCGCAGCCACGCCGCCACAGCAAAGCTGCATCGTGGGCATTGCAGAAGGCGGGGATCTCACCTTGCACCTGTCTGCTTAGCCCAGAGTCCCATGATTTTCAGGGCAGAATGACAACTTTTCAAGGTGGAGGGAGCCAAAAGACCCTATGCTCACTTTTTTTTTTTTTTTGAACTTCCCGCCTCCCCGCCCCATCTTCTTCGGAGGCAGGCACTGTAGGACGCGCGCCTGTCCCCCGGCCACCCTCCAGGTGGCCAGGCCTCGACTCACAGCGGGTTCCAGCGCTCGGGCAGGCGACGGTGCAGCGAGATGCGGTCGCTGAGGTAGGTGTTGATCTGGTGCAGCCGCACGCTCTCCTCCTGCAACCGCAGCTCCTCTCCCTGCAGCTGCAGCCGCACCGCCTCGCCCCGCGCGCCCAGGGCGTCCGCGGACAGCGGTGGCCGCGGCAGCACTGGCTCGCGGCGTCCGGAGCGTAGGGACCGCGGAGGTCCGGACTGGGTGGACCCGGCTCCGGCCCCAAGCCGCGATCGCACTACCGCCCCCAGCCCAGCCAGCGCCAGCAGCGCCAGCAGGGCCAGCAGCGTCCCCCTGCCGCGCCGCAGCCCCCGCGGGCAGCGCCGCCGCGCCGCGCGCCCCCACATGCGCCCGCCAGCTCCGCCAGCTGCGCCCGCGGTTGGCACGCCCCGCGGCGGCGGCGGCGGCGGCTGGCGGTGGAGGCCGGACCCGGATCCCGGAACCGCGAGCCCCCGCCCCCGGCCCGCCCCACCTGCGCACCGCCCCCTTCCGGCCGCGCCGCCGCCGCCGCCGCCGCCGCCGCCGCCGCAGGAGCGCTGCACGCCCACCTGCGGGCCGTCCCACGTGGGCCGGCGGCGACTTCACCTCCTGTCTCCCGGCTCCGGAGAATTAGGAGGTGACGGAGGTGGGACCCGCGCTGCATGGTGGCTGAGTGCGCTGTGCGGGGCGATCTCCTGTGATCTTTCCACAGTTGGGTTAACAGGGTCCCTAGCGCTTTCCAAAAAGAGTCATCCATTTTACAGTTCGGGAGATTGAGACGCTGTCTTCCGCCGGCCCGCCCTCTGCCATGCTACTTGAAGCCCTGGAATTTCCAAATTCTCACTTATCTATCCTTGGCTTTGTTTCTTATTCCTCACTTTAGGAACAACTCCAAGGAACGGATCAAAGGAGCAAACTATCGCTTCAGCAAAACACAAGCGTGTCCACTCGTAAGATGATCTCACACATCCGGAGTGGTCCACTGGTTTAAGTACCAGGCCTTGACTAGAGGTTTTCTTTTGGGGGCACTAAAACGAAAGAGGAATCATTAGGGTGCTGAAAATATTTAACAGGGTTAAGACTAGAGTGTCACCTAGGGACAAAATATTAAGGGCGGGGGTGGGGGGGTCGCGAAAACATAAAACAAAACATTAAATCATCTAAACTTTTATCTCAGCCAGGAGGGAGGAGGCAGGCCAGGCTTCCCACTCCAGGCCCTTGCACATACAAGGCTGTTCCCTCTGCTTGAAACGCTCTTCCCCACCTATCCAGCCCCTGCCCCTGCTCCTCCTTCTGAAGCCTTCCAGGACTCCCCAGCCTTTTAAGGAAATATATTTCAAGATTGCGTCATCGCTTTGTGTATTGGTCAGGGTTCTGCTGGAGAAACAGAACCAGGAGACATTTATAGCCAGGCCTGGAATCCCAGCAACTCCTGAGGTGGAGGCCTGCTGGCCACTTTGAGGTCAGCCTAGACAGTTAACCAGGCCCTGTCTCAAACACAAAATGTAAGCAAAAGGGCTGGGGTTATAACTCAAGTGGTAGAGCACTTGCCTAGCAAGCGCAAGGCCCTGGGTTCAATTCCCAGTACTGCCAATACAATGTTATATGTATTGTATATGTATATGTATATGTAAACAAAGAATGGGCAAGCGTGAAAGCCAGAGGGCAAGCAATCAGGAAAGTAGGTGTGTGTGGGGTGGAGGGGTGGACTGGAATTCCTGGGCATCAGCTCAAGCTGTAGTTTGCAAGCAGAATTCCTTCTTTAGGACAGCCTCAATTCTGATCTTAAGGCTTTTCAACTGATTAAATCAGGCCCACTCAGAAAAATCTCCTTTATTTAAAGTCAGCTGACTATAGACGTAAATCATATCCAGCAAATGCCTTCCCAGAAACAGTGGTTGATTGAATAACTGGGGATTATAGCCTAGCCAAGTTGACATATCAAACCGACCATCTCTATTAGTTACCTAGGGCTATTGGATCAACATACCATAATCTTGGGTCTTTAAAACAACAGAAATCTATTCTCCCAGTTTTGGAGGCTAGCAGCCTCAGGTCAAGGTGTCAGCTCCCTTTAAGAGTCCATGCTCCCTTGAAGGATCTTGGGGGGACGGGCTGTTCCATGTCTTTCTATTATGGTGTTGCTGGCAGTCTTTGATGTTCCTTGGCTTGTAGGTGCATCACCCCAATCTCTGCTCCACTGTCACATGGCTCTCCCCTACGGTGTGTCTGTGTTCATGTCTCCTTTACTTTTCTGAGAAGAGTCATGTTGGATTAGGACCCACTCTGATGACCTCATTTTAACTTGATTAGATCTAAAACTCTAATTGCAAATAAGTCACATGCACAGGTACCAGAGATTAGGACTTCAGTGTATCTTTAATGGGAGGGGGACACAGTTCAATCCTCATCACCATCACTCTTTGTTATAGTACTCAATACATTAATTGTGTTTAATTCATACCCTGCCCTTACAACAAAAAGAACTGAAGTCCTTAGAGTTTGAGTATGGCCACTTGAAGATCCCAGAGTTTGGGACAGTGTCAAACACACAGCAAGTGCTCTGTTAACAGCTGGTTCCACATTTCACACTCAGCTTCCTTTGGTGTCTGTTTGAACTCACTGGGAGGGATCCAAGATGAAGTGCAGGGAGAGGTTCCTCCTAAAACATGACAAACATTCCTAGGGTCTTGTTCCAGAAAGGTTTCAGTGGTAATCTAATATGGGAGTTTTCAGAATCTGCTCCCGGGAACCCTTGGGGACCATCCAGGAAAGTGCGAAGGAGGCTGACTGGGTGGAGCTCCAGCTCCCCTCCCTGAAACCAGAGCATTAACTTGTTTATCTAATACTTTGTGCTTCCCTGTTAGAATGGTGACTCTGGCAACTGGTGACACGGAACTAGTGACAAGGTCAAAGAGTGTGTTGTTCAGAGCCACACCTTGAGAGGCAGCACAGGAAATATAAAGGAGTAAGAAGGCATGACAGTAACTGCTGCAGAACTGCCACTAGCCACCCTCCTCTTCCCTCACTATGTTGTTTGGGTTGGTCTCAAACTCCTGGGCCCAAGTTATTGTACCATCTCAACCACCCCAGTGATGGGACACCAGTGTACACTATCTTGCCACCATGCCCAGCTTAGAACCCTTAATTTTTTTTTGTTGGTTTGTTTCTCTGGGCAGAATAAAGAGATTTCCCAGCCTCCCTTGCACCTAGGTGTGGTCATGTGACTAAGTGTGCCACCAGTTGGCTTCAAGTAGAGTAAAAGGTAGAACTCCCATGTACAGTAGCTGCTTATCTCCAGTTTTGCTTTTGGTAATTCACTTAACTGGTGGTCAGCTACAGTCTGAAACATTAAATGAAAGATTCTAGAACTAAATAGTTCATAAATTTCAAATCGTATGCTCTACTGAGGAGCGTGATGAAATCTCACACTGTCTCACTCCGTGCTGCCTGGGGCATGAATAATCTTTTTGTCTAGAGAGTCCAGACTGTAAAGACTACCTGCCCTTTCATCACTTGGAAGCTATTTTGGTTATCAGATCAACCATTGTGCAACGGTGGTGCTAGGGCCCCAGTAAACCTTATTCTGCTTAATGATGGCTCCCAACTGCAAGAGTAGTGACACTAGAATCTACATATGCCAAAGAGAAGCCATCAAGGTTTTTGTTTTGGTTTGTTTGTTTGCTTATTTACCATACTGGGGATTGAACCCAGGGCCTCTTGCTTGCTGGGCAAGCACTCTACCATTTGAGCTATTCCCCCAGCCCTTTTGTTTGCATTTTGTTTTTGAGATAGGGTCTAGTTAACTTTGCCTGGGCTGGCTTCAAACTGGAGATCTTCCTGCCTCTGCCTCCTGAGTAGCTGGGAGTACAGGCATGTACCATTACACCTAGTTCATAAAGTTCTTCCTTTAAGCAAAAAGGTAAAAGTTCTCAAACAAATCAAGAAAGAAAAAAAAATTGTATGTGAGATGGCTAAGATCCATAGCATATAACATACTTTGATAGACTACATTCATATAACTTTTATTATAATATATTGTTATAATTGTTATGTTATTACTACTTATTGTTCATCTCTTTAATACATTTAATTTATAAGTTAAACTTTATTATAAATAATGTATAAGAAAAAATATAGTGTATATAATGGTCAGTACTGTCTGAGCTTTCAAGCATCTGTGGGGAATCTTTGAATGCATGCCCCTGCTGACAAGGGGGGGACTACTGCAGTGTCCTTAATGCAGACTTCTTTATCCTTCCTTCTTCCTGCTGGCCAGATAGTGGATGTGAAGACTGGAGCTCAAGCAACTGCCTTGGATCAAAGAGGTCACAGCCATCCACTGAGAATGGTGAAACAAAGGGAGAAGAAGCACAAGTGTGTAACAATGTGGACACTGGGGCCGGCCTCCTCCCAGGCCTCATTTATGTGGTAGGGAAATGAATGTCTGTCCCATGTAAGACACTGTCTGTCCTATGCAGCCAAATCTAACCGCTGATGGTTTAATCACAAGAGAATCCTCCCAATATCAATGTGAAGTGTGAAAATCCTTTCATTCTCCCTCCTCTGATTAGGCAGGTCTCTGACTGCTTCAGTCAGTGGAATGTGTTAGAAGCACAAAGGCCATGAAGTTTCCATCTTGCTCATAGGAGCACTGTTCTTAGAACCTGGAGCTGCCAGGTGAGACACGACCAGTTCCGTCACTGTTGTACTGGAGAGGCCGCAGTTAGATGTGACAGTGCCAGCCAAGCCCCATCCTCTGAAGCCTGGCCAGCCCAGGCATTGGACAGGTGTGTGAAGACGTCATCGTGGGTGTGGCTCCTTCCTACTATGTGTGTCATCCCAGCTTTCAGGTCATCTCAGCTGTGACTCTGTTGCCAGAGGCCTGGCTCCAGAAAGTCCCAACAGAACAGGTTGGCCACTCATCCCAAATGATCTGAACAGCAGAGAAAGGAACCATAGAGAAACAAGAAAGTAGTTTATTTCAGTGTGGCCAACCCCAGGAAGGATGGGGACCAGTGATCTAAGCCTATCTTTGAGCAATAGCTCCAGGACTTCTTAGGGGAAGGACTAGGGCAGGGGCAAAAAGTATGCATAGTCAGGTAGACTTGGTCAGACGACCAGCTGATCGTTACGTCAGGTCTGGTCCTACAGGGTCTTGCAGGTACCCAAGAAGTCATGACCACTTGGGGATAGTTTTGGTTCCCTTCACGGGATGATTGCTTGCAGGATCACTGTTCCTGGAATTTGAGCTAAGCTGCAGAGAAAAAGTAACTCAAGGAGAGAAGCTTAGAGAGACAAGTGCCCTGCGAGGGTCTAGGTACACTATAAGAAGCAAGAGTCAAAGAGAAGCAAAGCTGGACCTTAG